CTGAAAGCTTTTTCCCTCTCTTTGGATGCCACTCCATGTAATATTCTGTAAGTCATTAAAATCTATTTTTCTTATACAGTTTGCACTACTTCTGGATAGTCTTAGTTACTTTAGTCAGTGTCTTTTGAAGCCAAAGGGAAAAAAAAATACCCAGAGCTCACCTACCAACTTTGTCTTTACCTTGCTAGTTCATAGTTAATACTTAGTGGTATGTAAAGAGAGTTTCTATAACGTGGCACTCCTAAGAACACTTTTGAAAAAATAGTGATAAACTTCAGCCAGCTTGTTCTTTTTAAGTGAAAATTGCGAAGTTCTGTAGTAGAATCCATTCTCCTTAATAATCATCTGGCTTTGACAATGAATGTCACCAAAGCTAGTTGCTTTTTAGCAAAATGGGAGATGAAAATCAAGTCAGAATTTTATTTAATTGTTGCTGGCCTGTGAAAGAGATTGGAAAAATTAAAATCTGCAAAGACATGGTCCTTTGCAGCTTATACAGCAAAGTAGGGTAGGCTAGAGTTTGTCAGGTAACTGTCTATTCAGAAATGAGAAGTTATTCTACATTTAGCTGCATTACTTACTGTTTTCTTCATCATGGAAAAGAATAAAATGTGGTAACAATTTTCTGTATTTGGATTGCTGCTGCACATAATTGGGAACAACAGAGCTCAGGCTTTGATTTTGGTGAAATGCTTAGTCTGCGTGTTGGATTAAAATGTGTGCAACAAATCACTCCAATTCTGTAATAATAATTTTTTGAACATTATTTTTTTATTTTATTACTGTAATGTTATTACTTTTCAGCTACAGACTTTGAGAACTGGGTCAGTTGCAAGAACAAAATTGGCATGAAAATAGTTGTATATTTGTTCTGGAAAATAGATTGTCGACATACTTTATAAAATAGTCAGCCTGAATTTTTCTGTGCATCAAATGTAAGGGATAATGTTAGTCTCATATTATTAGTAAGCTATTAATTCAAAGTCCTGTTCTTTAACCAGTATCCTAGGAAGACTAGATAATATTTGCTAGATAGACGTGTTAAACAGATCATCTGTGCAGAAATGGATTTGTGAAGCAGCTTACAGAATGGAAAATAAATTTAGGCTGAAGTGTGCCAGCAAGTCAATATATGAGAACAATTTGCAACAAGCAAAGGTGAGGAAGACATGAAGAAATGGGGTCATCAGATTCATGAATTAAAGGGTAATATTCCTGGGGCTGCATTATAGGAGGCAGTAACTAACGTTTTGGCTGCCTAATACAGAAGAGTTATGGTACCAGTGTTAGATATGCTTCCATGGATTTTTTGCTCTTGTGAAAATAATCAGAAGCAACTTGGAGCTGTGATCTGTCCGCAGCACAGCTGTAGTAGTTTGAGACATTTCTTCTGCCAGGTTTATATCCCTGCCAGAAACAGTGCCTGAATGGTTGCACTCTGAGTCCCTGGTTCCAGTGACATCTTAGCACTAGCCAGTGTTAAATCTCAGCTATTGGAGCTCAGTGCTGCACTGTGCACTGCAGCAGCTGGGAAATGGTCTTGCTTATATGTAAAACCATCTCTGGCACTGGAAGGGAGCAGACAGAAGTGGCATGGTGATAATTTCTTCACATACCATGTCCAAACCTACCAAACCTCATTGGTAAGAAGTGTCAGACATCATAGGAAATAAGTTTTTAAATATTTACAGAGTTTTGTTTTCTTTCCTTCTGAACACTCTCTGATATCTTTGCCATGTACTTTCCAATGATGACACATTGGGATCTGACTGGGGTGAGTAATGGTGTCTGGCTGGGGGGAGGAGAGGACAGGGAGTGCTTAACAGTGAGTAATTATTTAAGGAAATGGCCTGTGTGGAAAGAAAAGTGTGTTGTGATTGGATGCATTTATCAACTGGCCTTTCAGTGTCACCTGTGGACAGAGCATTATTGTGTCTGAGTTTTTAAATAGTTGGAAGTCAGTTTATTGATCTAATGTGGGAATGCGTCGGGGCCTGGTCTTGGTTTGGTCTGTGAATTGAGATGTGAGGTGTGTCCCCTATTAGAAAAGATGGAAGTAAATGATAGTTACCCCATGGTCATCCCTGAGCATGGTCATTCACTTTTGTGACCAGCAGTTAAAAATCATAAGATCTTGTATGCAAAATATCATTTCATGATCAATATCGTTTCAAGTCTACAAGCAACTGACAGGAAAATTTTGTAAGTGAAGGTGGAGTTACAAGCTCATTGCTCTTCCCTATTTCCTTTGTACAGTGACACACGGAGGTTTGCCTTAATTTTTTATGAGGTTCATGCATGTAGAGCCTTCTGTTTGTTCTCTCTGTCCTTATCAGGAAATTTTACTATGTCTGAAAATACCTAGAATCACTTTGATTTTGAAATGAAAATGAATTTTGAAATGAAGCCTGAAGGGTTAAACCTTTGTGTTCTGTAACTCTGTGTTATGGTGATGCTCTCTGCTACAGTTGGTGTGGTCATGCTGTTTTCTTGTCAGTGCCATGACTCTCTGCAATTCTTTGAATTGCACTGCAAAAATTCTCATTTCAGACACAGCACATCCTGCCTTCTGAAATGAGGCACATTGTGGTTTTCTCTAGCATCTTCAAGCGTACTGCTACCTTCTCTGAAGAGAGTAAAATAACTGAAGTACAGTGAAATGTATAGTGATGGATGCTGTGTGTTTCCATTGACAGCATAGTTATTTGTGTATTCTTTAGCTGTGTGGGATCAGGTTCCAAAGGAGCATTCTCAGGTACAAGTGGCTGTGACTCCCTTTCCTGACCTGTGGCTGAGCAGTGGCACAGGCTGCCAAGTGCAGTGGGTCACACCTGGGCAGTGCTGAGCCGCTGTGCAGAGATGGGATGGTGTTTCTGCCTCTGCAGTCTCTCCTCCAGTGTCCCTCTTTTATCCCCAGCTGGTGAAAAACCCAAACAAGCCTCCAAACAGCAGACACAAAACTGCTGCTAGGCAGGAAAATAAGTTGTACTAGTGATCAGCTTTAAGGTACTTCACTTGCCTTAGAGCCCTTTCTGACCTTTCTTTCATTATTTGTGTGATAATGGAATATTTCTTTCCCTTTCCCCCTGTACTCAAGAAAGGGGAAGTTGCTGGTTTATGTTGCTGAGGGGTTTTCAGTTGCACAGCAGTCTTGGCTGTGCTTGGGGGTGCTGAATTCATGCTGAATTTCCCCCTGTGAGGTGCTAACAGCTCGGAGGAGCTGGGTTTGCTGCTCAGGCAGTGCTGCAGCCCAAGATCCTGTGTGAGCTGTGCATGCTGTGTGTGGAGAGCTGGAAATACATGGCTCATTTTATCATTAGCCATTTTTCTCTGATGGCAAGAAATGGCATTTTCTGGTTTTCTTTAATGAGATCTTGATCATGATCAGATAAATGCTGGCTTGCTAGTCTCATACTTTGACCTCTACACTCATTCCATTTTCATTTATTTGAAGAGAGATGAGGGAGTCTGTCAACCTCCCTTAACAGGTGGTTATCAATTTGCAAAACCAGGCTGTTAATTTGAAACATCAAGAACTCTTTTTAGGATATTTATAGTGAATCCTAGAGGATAGAGGGACCAAATTTTATCCAGCCTCCTTGCACAAGCATAATTGTTTAATCCAGGTTCCATTATTTTGCAACATTTTTAAACTTTATTTTTATGTTAAAAACTATATTGTGCTTGAAACGAAGCAGAAGTTATTGTGAACTAGGAGCTTAAGATGTGTGTCTGGTGTCAGAAGTCTTGCACTGTCCTGGTGCCTGTAGTCTCTTTGGTGCTGTCCAGAATTACTTGGAACAATTATCGCTATTTATTGCTGTGCTTGATTTTGATCAAAGCCTGCCAGGACTACATATTTCAGCAGCCTCACTGCTGCTTTTAGGAATATAAAGGATCTTTTGAGAAGATAACTAAAATTATTTGATGGTTCTGACTGGAACAGGAATGAGCTCTAGATCAAAATGCAACTTGATTCTTTCCTGTGGAATAAAGAAGCTGAACGTTGAAACCGGTGCCCTCTTGCTCTTTTTGACAATATGTAAACTTAATGTGGTTTTACAGTTTCTACCATCTTCTGAGTTGTCCAAATATCCCTGTGGAATTATTCCTTATCAAAATAGCCAAGAAGTATGTGAAGAAGCAGATAAAATTTTTAGATCATGGTGGCTACTGCCTTACTGAAGACTGCTTTCATGTGCTGAAATTTGCATTAGAAGTAACTCAAAAGATTTGAATTACCATTCGCACATCTTAAATTTTACTAAAGTAATTTCAAGCCTCAACATTCTTCAGCTAATTGAAGTTATCCCTGAGAAAAAAACAACAACCCATACAAATTGTGTAATAGCTTTTCCAGGTATATTTTCCTTCCTTCTCTCTTTCTAGCTCATGACTGGTCACTGGTACCTTGTGTTTGAGCTTTACTTACTGAAGTAGTTTGAATAATCACAAATGACATGAATATATAATGAAACTTCGTTGCTACAAAATAAAGATTGGGGTTTTAAGCTCATATCCTTTTTTCATTTTGTCACTGTGTTAGTAGAATCTTATTTTCTACTCATAGACCCTTCATCCTGTAATAATTTAAAAAATCTTAAACTCACTATTTAAAACATTTAAATTTTAAAGCTCTTTTTATTTGGCCTCTGTATAAAAAAATGGATTGATGTGTGGATTTCTCTCTGGCCTTAGCCTGGCATGTACATTCAAATGATGTTTTTCATATGGATTTTCTGACTTTTAGAATTTTCCATTAAGAACAGAGAAGAAAAAAATCTTACTTGTGAAAATGTGGAAGACTGTATTTGAGAGAATAGAAGGAAACCTGCATTTAGAAGAAAACTGAGTATTAAGAATAAAATTTATCAAGGCAAAATATTTGGTGAAAATAGAATCTGTAATTCGCCATACTAAAGTGTTACGAACTTGAATAATATCAAATAGGAGCCAGACTTGCTTGGTTTTGAGTGCATATTTGACCCATGTCTTGTTACTGAGACCTTGTGGAAAGATTTGCATGATTATGGAATCAACTTCATTGGGTTCACCATTTTCTAAGACATATTAGCCACTGCTAAGTCATTTATAGCTTGAAAGCAAACAATTGTAAATGCTGATCCATTCATATCCCACCATAAAACACAGGATGGGTTATTCACTTCTGTGTGACGCGTGCTCCCACTGCGATGGAGAACAAAATGACTCCTTTTTAAGCCATCTATATATAAACTGCAGAGGGACAGGCTACAATGGGGGATTTCATTCTGGGGAGGTACTCAGAAGATTTCCTGTTGCCAACACAAAACGATGGCATTTCTAAGGAAATTGTTGTCTCTTGTTTTAATATTTGAGTTATAACATTGAGAGTTTTGCATAGAGTAAAGGACATATTCTTATTTTGATCAAGGATGAAAGATTGATCTGGGAAATAATTTTTTTTATTTGATAGGTATAATTGGTCATTATTTATTTGTATTAATTTCTGTGTTGAAGGAATAAGATAAAGCTGGTACTATTTGGGTTTGTACTGCATGCTTCCAAAGCTGCATTTCTAGAATGAGAAATGAGAAAGAAGGCAATGTAGGTTTTGACAAAAGCAAAACAAGCCTGGGAAAATCAAAGCAGTTACAAAAAAGCTTTAAAATAGGGAAAAACTTAATAGAAGCTATAGTGTAGAAAATTCATATAGGAAATGAAGGGACACAATAAGAAATACCAAGTCAAAGAAAGTTAAGATGATAATAAGGAATTAAGTAATCAAGGGCAAGAGAGATGTTTTTGGAGATTCTGACTCTTTTCATGATGAGGCTGATGGAATTTCTGGAGAAGGGTGGTGGAAGTGTTCAGCACTGTTTGGAGGGGATAAGACAGGAATTTTATACCTGAAATCTGCCAGACTTTAAGGCTGAAATGAAATAGCAGGAATTGGATTTATGCATTTTTATGTAGCTAGTCCAGCTAACCAGGGAGCCTGAAAATAGCTAATGGGTTCTCACAGGTTAATTCTCCATAGAGCTGGAAATATAAGACAGTTTTCCAGAGGCTGAAAGAAAATTGTTGTTGATCCAGTATTTTAAAAGAAAGTGAGATTGTCTGAGTGATTATAGGTGTGTTAAACAGACAAAAGATAAAAAACCAGTTATTGGAATGATATATAATTAATGAAGAATAAATGGTATTTAGTGTCATTTAGTAGGAGTTCATCAGAGAAAGGTCCTTCAATCTAACTCAATATCCTTTTGATATCATCATGTTAATTGATGAAGGTAACAGTAGCAATATAGCATTATTGTTTACCTTACAGGATTTCTGTAAGCCATTTTATTAATTGTATCAGAATGGCTTGATTACTTATCAGAATTACAGCATATGGACACAGCATCTCTGGTTGGCATGAAGATTAATTAAATGATAGGCTTCAGGGTGCATCTGGTGTGGGGAGATAGAGCAGATGGGACGTACATCCATTCTCATTTCTGCCCTATTTAACACTTTTAAACAATGGTTTAGTGAAAACATATTATTGTTAACAAAGTTTGAATGTGGCATGAAAATTGGAGCAATTTATAATGACGGGACTCTAAGGCAGTGTGGATTACTCAGTGTGGCTGAAGTATCTGGTAACTACTTCAGTACAAACAAACAACAGGTTCATCATTTGCTGGCTATGCTTACAGGATGTCCTGGTGCACCATAACAAAAAAAGCATTTTAGAGTTGCTTGTGAAGAATTGACTGGAGTGCACATCCCAGATGTACAGGAGACAGCAGGAGTTGGCAGTACCACTGTTTGGTTTTTGCCCTTGGAGGATGGAACAAAATGAAGCCTACTAGTTTTTTATTAACATCTTAGTTTGATTCTGTCTGTTGGCTGTAGCCTGTCTTACTACAAACAAATCAATGCAGATGTGTTCCACATATCTGGTACATCATACACCTGAATATGAGTGAAAACTGTCCTCAGAAAAATTCCTGTAGTCTCTATTCACTTCCCTTGAGCCTCATTTAAGAACAACTTGTGGAAATAAATATATCCTAACTATTTTATTAGTATTCTTTCAACTAATGCACTGAATATTTAAAAGAAACTGATAAAAAACCTTGGGAAGAATATTATGAGGGATTAAAGCAGCAAAGGGGACCTACAGATGTAACGTAACATTCCTGGTAAAATAGTCACAGTTTGTTTTCAGTGGATTTGAATTAAAGAGGGAGAAAAAAAATCTTCCGTAGAACACTTCTAATGTAAATTGTTGGGTTGGTGGGCAATTTGTGTAAAAAGAATTGCCTAAACGTGCTGTTGTTTTGCTTTATTAAGAATTTTGGTATGTATTTTTATTGTGATGCTGATCAGGTTTCCTGTTTTTGGCACAGATTACAGGACCGGCCCTTGCTTCACTTTGGTAACGAACCAGATGTGCCAGGGCCAGCTCAGTGGGATTGTCTGCACAAAAACCCTGTGCTGTGCAACTGTTGGGAGAGCGTGGGGCCATCCCTGTGAAATGTGTCCTGCCCAGCCGCATCCCTGCCGCCGCGGCTTCATTCCAAACATCCGAACCGGGGCCTGTCAAGGTAAGGTAGCAGCAAAGCTTCCCCAGGAGCTGCTGAAATTGTTACTGGATTAATCTTAATTGAGTTACACTGCTGTGAATAACCTGTCCTAAGCCATTCTCTGCTATATGTGTGAAGAATGGAAAAACACTGTCAGATGCATTACTTCATGATTCAGTGAGTGCCTGATGTTCAAGTGAGTACATTAGTAACTCAGGTCGTGTGAGAGCAGCCAGCATCTTAATGAATTTCTCACTGCCAGCAGTGCTTTCCCTTGGTTCTGTAATGGCGTTTTTCTCAGTGTACCACTCGATCATTCCATGGAGGAATTTGTTCTGTTTCAGAGTACTCAAAACATGCAAACATCAATCTGTGGCAATAATGCCCCAGTTATCTGGTGTGAGATTTTTTAGCTAAAAGTTGTGTAGTTTGGATTAATCTTGGATCTCTTATCTCTTGAGCTACACTGCTTTGACCTGGAGAAAAGTGCCTGTCGTGCCATTTGTAATGCCTTATTATATATTTTATACAATTTTGGAAATGTATTTGCATTTGTTTCAAATCATAAAATCCACCCAGATGTTGCTTACTTCTTTCAGAGCATGCCTTACCATAGAAAGTCCTTACACTGCTTTTGGCTTTTATTCTAATACTTCCAGCTGTATAAATTCTTTTATTGTCTGGATGTCTGACAGGAAACAGGAGAAAGTTAACAGGGGCAACTATGTATTAAACTGATGTAGATTATACATTCCCAGCACCATATCTTTGGGACTAGTTTATTTTAGTCTGTCTAACATTTTCTAATAAGTTACAATATTTTTGAATATAGGGAAGATAAAGATTATAAATCGATGAGTAATTTTATATAACCATGAAATTCCTATGAAAGAACTTCAAGGCATTCTGTTGCATTAAAAATGGAGATACCCTCTGTCAAAGGCCAAGTCATGGCTGGTGCCTGCAGACAGACATGATGAACTTCAAGATGGACAGCATGGTTGTGTGCACTGCATGATGTGCCCATATTTTGACCTCAGTGATTCTGTTCCTCCTCTCACTGTAAAGGTCAGGACTAAATTGTGCAGGAATCTGTGAACTGAGATTCTGGACACTTTGAAAGCTTATGTACATAAATATGTGGCCCACACCCCTGAATTTATGCCACACCTAGATATATCCCTCTTGTTTGTGTCATGGGAAAGCTGCAGTGAACTCTCCAGTGGGTTTGTGCAGTTTGGAATAAGGATACTTCTGCTTACTGCATGTTTCTTAGCAAGCAGCTACATTGATGCTGATCTGTATGTGGTGCCAACACAGTTTTGGCCCAATATGTTTGACTTGTATTTTCCAGTTTTCCCTTCTTAAGTATTGTGTTTGTAATTTCAGTTGATCTTTTATGGAATTACATATGAAATTAGCTTTATTTTTCATGCAACTTTACTAAATCCTTTTGAAATCAGATAATGTCCATTCAGACCGAAGACATTTCAAGGATTTCACATCCATATTCAATCTAAATAAAGGAAAACAGATTAAATAAAATCCAGGTTCTTCGGAGAGAAAAAGGGATCACTATTATTGTGTGGAGAAGTAAAAAAAAAGTAAAGAAATATTGAGGGCAAGGTTATTTTCAAAAGTGATTAGAATATCACTGCCCAAAGTCTGACTTTGGCTGAAAGTTAAATTAATATAACAGCAGAGATTTCAAAGATACAAAGAAGAAAAATAAAACCAAAAGGTGGGATTTTGAAACAGACATCATGACTCAGAGGCATGACTTCTGTTTCTTTAGTTTTTGAGGTTTTTTAAAGTCAACACAGTGCCATGATGTCTGGCTGATTGCTGTTGCTAAAGCACAGCCCATTGCTGTAGCAGCAGCAGTGTGGCTGCTGAGGCTGTGCTGTTCTGTGACCTCCCAGCACAGCAGTTCAGGGACAGCTCTGTTCTGCTGCTGCTGCACCCCTGACCTGCATCGGTTCACCCAGGGGTCTCAGCATAACACTGCCATGTGGTGCAGATATGCTCCTTGGTGCTCCTGAGGCTTCCTACTTGTGGCTCTCAGGAAACTTGCCTCTTAGCCTTTTGTGCAGACATAGTACATTGCTTTTCAGACTTCAAGACACGTTACAGCTGTCTCTCTGGGATCTATAGAGATTTGAAGGCATCAACTCCTTCAGTTTGTGTCCCTGCATTGAAACCTATGTCAGTGTGGAGCCCAAGAACTCAAGCAACCAGCTTTTAGCAGCAGCAGCTTAGGAGATGAGGGAAGAATGAGCATTTGGATTGGAGAGTGGAGTGCTCTGTGCTCCTGAAGGAATTCCTGAGCAGCAGAGACAGGGCAGCCCCTGGGGACTGTGAGCCAGACTTCCCCAGTGTCCTATTGCAGTGCCACTCCTCCGCCTCCTTTAGCCTCTTTTCTGTAGCTGTTATTGAGCCATAGCAACACTTGTGCAGCTAAGTGACGACACACATGTTGTTGTGCTAGAATAATTGTGAGGCCAGAAACTGGGGCCTCTTGAAAATGTTTGTCTTGAGCTTACTACCTAGTCTGTGATATCATCTTTGTTATTTCATTTTCCTTGGTGAAAAAGTGAAAAGCAAAGAAAGAAAGCTAAAAGGGAAAAACCCCTCAGATTTATGTATGTCTAAGCAGGCCGTTAATAATTCCTCCTGAGACATTAATTATGGCTATGAAACTTTTTGAGTTAAATCCTAGCCACAGTCTAATGCCATTGGTGCTGATCTTACTGGAGTGTCAAGTTAATAATTTCCATCAGAAATGACTCTGCAGTTGCTGTGCCTCTCCATGAGGCCCCCTCCATGCACCCTGCAACTGCTCCTCTGTGCTGGTGGCCTGAGCACTGTATGGAGTTGCCAAGATTTTTGAGGGGCCAAGCGATTTTGGGTGACCAACTTTAGACACTTCAAAGAAACTTGAGTTCTGGCAGGCTGTGTTTTCTGCACACCATTCCCCAGATGTTTTGGAAAAACAAAGCAATAGCAGTTAGATATTTAATGTCTGTAACAATAATAACCATGTGATTTCTTGCAGAAAATATTTAGAGTACTGTACTTAATCATACTTTGCATAGAGTAATTACAAAATTAGTGTCTGTCTTCCCAAGCAAGTATCATAATATTATGATGGGTGAAGAATGGATTTAGGCATATTTAATTTCTGTGTAGACAAATTATTATGGCTGTTCTTGAGAAATGAAATAAAAGTGGGTGTTTTTTCCTTTTTTTATATCATAGATGTGGATGAATGCCAAGCCATCCCTGGGATCTGTCAAGGGGGAAATTGCATTAATACCGTTGGATCTTTTGAGTGCAAATGCCCAGCTGGACACAAGTTTAATGAAGTAACACAAAAATGTGATGGTAAGAACTTCTAGAACTTTCATCTGAAAGTAGAGGAGGGAGAGTCTACTTTTGGGGAACCAACTTGGTTTAAAAGTTTATAACAAATTTACTGTCTCTTTTGCCTTGAGTGTGCAAGTAGCATTATTCATAACAAATATGAATAGGGGTTCTTTCTCCTAAACCAGAGAATGTTAAATATTGGCCCTGCAACTTTTATAGCCTTTTTATTTATGAAACATTTCAGACTTGAAGGTACATCTAACATTAAACATGAAAACATTAAAAATACTTTCTAAGTGATATGTTGCTTTGGAAATGCTTGAGGCACGTGTTTCTTTGTGGATTTTTTGACCAAAAAGTGTATATGACTGGAAGGTTCAACACATTCCTACCTGCTCAGGTGAACTGTATTTAACATAAGTGGGAGTTTGACAATGCTATGTGAAGACTGCTGGATTGTGCTCTGAACTCAGCCTTACAGTTGCATATGTTACAGAAGGACAAACATTTTATCTGCTCTTACTAGTCATCCTAACCTCGAGGTACAGCAGGTGCTAGATATTAGTGTGGAAATTTGCAGTGTGCAATTATAGAATCGTGCTATTTTTTACTGTGATTTGATAGTATTTTAAAAATTTCTAATATAATAAGCGTAGATGTCTCCTTTGCTTTAAGAGAATTTTGAGTACATAAGGAGCATAATACTAAAATGTGTTAGTTGCACATTATTGATTTGTATTTACTCTGAAGTCCAAATAATGTTTAAACTCTTGCAACTGATTCTACTTTCAGTCATTAGACTAAAATTAACTTGAGTAGACAAGTTTCATAAGTAGCTAGTGATTTTGGAATGCCACCTTTCAGTACAAGTATTTGTGAGAGAAAGGTGTACATTCACCATCCTTTCTTGCATCAAGCTCCCTTTAAGAAGCATTCAAAACTTTCTAGTCATTTTAGAAGAATTATGAATTACTCTTTCAAAAGAAAAATCGCTATTTAGGCAAAACTTTATAATTTATTTGCAGGTTAGGGAGAGCAATTTCATAAGAGCTTGTACACAGCATGGTTTACATACTGCCTGCCAATGATTTTGGCAGAATGTAACCTACATTTAGAATAGAACAACATTGCAAGTGTTTCCTTCTGTGGATGAAGTACCAAGAATGTGGTGAATAGGAGAGACTGAACATGTGCCTTGTTAAGTATTAGTACATGAAAAGCTGAGAGCTGTAGGCTACATCTCATAAATATTTTGATGGTATTTTTCAGTTGCTGAATCATTTTAAAAACAAACCCCAACCAACAACCAAAGAACAAAAAAAACCCAGACAACCTCCACCCTCAGAGCCTGCACTTGCTAACAGTTAAGGCACTGCACTCAAGAACCTGGTATAGGTCGCTGTGTTCCCAAATCCTGCCACAAATTTCCTGCCCCATTTGTGAAATCCCTTTGCAGTAATCATCACCTGCTGCAAAAATGAGATGAATCTTTCCTTCTTCAAATTCATACCTATTGATTTTTGA